CTCTCCCTCTCTTTTTTTTTGAAAACCTGATTTTATAACTTCTCTTAGCAGCATAGTAACTGCCACAGTTGTTCTTGTTTCCTACTGATTGCTGCTAACAGCGTCACTCTGAAGCGCTCCAAGCAGGAACAAACCATTTAACGCAGATAGGGGGGTCAGGGCAAATAAAGATGTGTGTTTTTTGATCTGGGAGACGGAACATTAAATTTTTACTGCTAAAAACACTATTTGAAAATACAATATAATTAATTTTGTAACTGACATGGCCCCGATTTTTTTAATTTTATTTCTATGAACAAAAAATAAATAAATAAATTGTGGAGGGCCCCCTGTTAGTCAGGGCCCTAGAATTGTCATCACTTTTCCCCCCCTGCGCCCCTGCCCATGATGCTCATGAACATTCTGGTACATTCTGGGGGATGTGTGAATAGATTGAAATATACTATAAAATATATGAAAAGTGTCTATTTTCTTTTCAGAACCACAACGAAACAATATGAGAAGAGTTTAGAGAAGATAACCAAATCTTTTTGTATGGTTGGTGACAGTTGGACCTTTTTATGAACACTTCTATTCAATGTGTCATCATATTCCCATGAAGACCTCTCATTAACAGCTGATAGGTGTCAGTGATGGTTCAGGGTTTGTTCTCCTAACTTTAAACCGAACTCTTGTCACATGGCGCAGCCCCAGTGAAATCTTTCATCTGATTTTATATGTTTGTTTTCAGGCAGCCATTCCCAGCTGGTGATCGGGTGACATTTAATGGAAAAGAGTGTATCTGCCAGAAGTGTACCCAACCTCTGCCTGCCAACAGCCCAGCACCCATTCAGGCTGTCCACAGTTAGTACTGATTCTAGTTCCTGTCCCAAACCTGAACTCTGTGTTCCATCCCCATGAACTTGAATTTTCGCATAATATCTGATGTCACTTTTACTCCATGATGAAACTGAAGCTAACTTCTTCTATCTTCATCTACATGTGCTCTGTGCAGACTGTTGTGGTTGTGGGAGGGAGTTCAAGAATGAACAGTCTCTTGTTGCTCTGGACAAGCACTGGCACCTGGGCTGCTTCAAGTGTAAAGTGTGCAACAAGGTGCTCAATGCTGAGTACATAAGCAAGTAAGTTACTCTAGCTATTAACAGAGGTCCAGCTATCCTCTTTTTAATTGACTCTGTAAAAATGTTTGTGTGCTCAACCAAGAGTTGGTGTCAAGACTCTCTTGCACTAACCCTAACCCTAACCCTGGATTTTGCTTTGACTTCCGTTCACCACTACAGCCTAACCATGACCCTAACCCATAAACAACACTTCTCCTGTGGACCAGGCCTTGATCCTCACAGTGTGTCCCCACAACGTATTGCATGTTAGGAAAATGATCCTTACAATGTATCAAGTACAAGGCCACACACACAAACACACTCTCACACAAATCCAATAATCCAAATGCTTAAAGCTTGTACATGTACAGGTTATTTCATGAATCCGACCTGTTTACTTTGATGCCAGATCCAGTCTTGATTCAATCAAGTAATCTCCATCCATCTTCATCTTTTTTGAAATGCTGTCATGTAGGCAACTATTTCTGTATGTAGTATACCTGAAATGCCAAGATAGGACACTTTGTCTTGGCAAAGTGTCAAGACAAAGTGTTCTGATTGGATATGTTAGACACTAGATTATCTGTGTGGTATTAAGCATGTCTGTTGCTGTGTGCTGTCTCTAGATAATTTCTCATGTGTTGCCCAAACAGAGATGGGATCCCCTACTGTGAGATGGATTACCATGCTATGTTTGGCATCCAGTGTGAGAGCTGTAAGAAGTACATCACTGGGAAGGTTCTGGAGGTATACTGTTTTTTTTATATGGGGAAAATTCTTTGCCTCGTGTGTCCCACTCCTTTTTATGGAGTGTCAAAGTTTTATGATTCAAAAAATGAGTGACTTGTTATATATTTATGTATACATATCATAAAAATATGTGAATCAATAAGTACATAAAGAAATATATTATAGTGGATAAACAAATAACAGTATCTATACACAAGAGAGAACATGTTCAGAAGAAACTTATAATATAAATATCTTTATTT